AAGTAGGTGCTTTAGACCACTGAGCCATCTCACCAGCCCCATCCCTGTTAATTTACTAAAGAAATGTTAACACAAACGTGCTGCTGTCCATGTTGCTAATGAAAATACCCCCTTGTAAAACTGGCATAAGCAAGCCAAAATAAATGTTACATTCCTAAGGTTTTGGATGCCTGGTGGGACCTTCCTAGGCACTTACCTCTCTAAATATTCTGCAAGAAGTTGTTCTGCGGCCGATGAGTACATCCACTCACTTCCAACTTTCTTCGTATAGCCAGGCACCTCCTCATTTTTTTTGTTGAATTTGAGATTTAAACCCACATTTGCTTTATGGTCTCCATGAGGGCTGAATTTAAATCACACAAACACACAAAATTTAAAAATGGTTCAAGCAATAAACCATTTGCTTTCAATCTTAGAAAAGTTTGACTTTGGTTCTTTTCAAAAATGGTTTTCTGCCGGGGAGATGGCTCAGTGGAATAAGTGCTTCCCTGGCAAGCGCAAGGGTCTGAGTTCAATCCCCGGTTCCACCAAAAATGGTTTTCTGAGACAAAGGTTTTCTATGATATCCCAGCCTGGCCATGAACTGAGGATCCTCCTGCTTCAGCCTCCTGAATGCTGGATTCTAGGCATGTGCCACCAGTCATGTCTCCTAATTTAGATTATTCTTTTATATTTTAGTTAATATGGTTCATTCCAACTAGCAGTAACTGAAAAACCAAAAGAAAGGTTTCAATCTTCAAGTCAACAAAGCATGTAAATTAATCATGTAATTACAGAAGAAAATGAGCAACAAAATGCAAGGAAGTATACTACTGAGGTTCACAATACCCTCTGATACCTTTTTTCAAGGTTCAACTTGTTAGCTGCTACAAATAAAAGCTGTCTTTGAACCATCTAATAAACACATGGTATTCAGATAAAAGACCACTATCAAAGGCATTTACAACTTTAAAGGAAAATTCACAGCAATTAATACAGAAAGTAAACACTGAAATATTAAGCATTTAATCTTTATCATTTTACTTTTTTGCCATTTAATTAAATTTCGCTAACAAAAACTTACTTTCTCCTAGATCCTCTTCCAATAAAAATACTTCCTGTAAACCTTGAAACAAGGTATCCACTTACTCCAAGGCGACTGGCCAACACATATCCTGGGTTGTACTTTATAGAATATTTCTTTAAACATAAAAACAAAAAGGTCAATTATGGAAACACAATTTACTTTAAATACTTATTTACCTTTAACATTGGAGATAGGGCTGGTGAGATGGCTCAGTGGTCTAAAGCACCTACTTAGAACAAGCTTAGCAAAGCACAGAGACCGCGGTTCAATCCCCCAGCACCACATGCCAGCCAGCCCCGCCCCCTGGTGGGCTGAGCTGGCCGCACACACAAAAATAAATAAATAAATAAAATTAAAAAAAAAAAAAAAACATTGGAGATAATCAACATATCACCACTGGATTATGACAATATACAAATTCTCACCTACTTTCACCTGCCCTGTCTAAAAAGATGTGAAGGCAGAATTTTTCTGTGTCTCTTTCCCACAGATGGAATAAAGGAAGAGGAAATATATAGTTTGTGAAGCTCTCTCAAGAAGTTAGCTGTAGCACTTGGGAGGCTGAGCCAGGAGGATCACCTTGAGTTTGAGGCCAGCCTGGGCTATACACGCAAGTTCAAGGCCAACCTATGCTACATAGCAAGACCCTGTCTCAAAAACAAAAAGAGAAAAAGAACTGTACTCTAAGTATTAAATGGCATGCTTGACAGGAAATTTCCCCCCCGTTATGGCGGAATTGAACCCACAGCCTCATGTATGTAAGGCAAGTACTCTTATCACTGAGCTTACAACTCCAGCCATTTAAACATTTTTTATTTTGAGACAGGGTAGCACAAAGCTTCCCAGACTGGCTTTAAACTTGTGATCTTCCTTCCTTAGCCTCTCAAGTAGCTGGGATTATAGATATATGCCAAATTCAGTCTTTAAAAAGAAAATTATTTTCACATTCATAAAGGATGGGGCCACAAAATGAGGCCTCAATAATTATTACACTGAATTAAAACAGAAGTATGTGAGCAAAATAACTGCTACTGGGGCCGGGGAGATGGCTCAGTGGAATAAATGCTTCCCTGGCAAGCGAAAGGGCCTGAGTTCAATCCCCGGTTCTGAAAAAAAACGAAAACCTGCTACTGAGGCAAATGAAAAATGTTCTTATATGAATGTTATTAATAGTTTTCCCTTAATATTTACTAGTACGTCAAATATGCAAGTATGTAAAAATGAGTGTGTATAGGGCAACTCATTTGGGACTCCTGCCTCGCAGGAGTTATTTCTACTCTCCATCCCTATCCCCCATTCTTTTTTTCCAATAAAATTTTTTACTCTTAAAGCAAAAAGTGTGTATAGACTCATGATTAATATATACCATGATATTAAACTTACTGTAGATGATGATAATTTTTAACCAGGAAGCAAATGACACACAAAACCAGTCCTGAGATTAACCTTCACATATTCCTTATGTTATGCACATGAAAATAACACATAATAAATTTTTATTCATAGATTATTTCAATAGTATATATTACCATTTTATGTTGATTTGTGATGTGAATATAAGGAAACTATATTACCAAAGACTCCACAGATTTCAAGAGATTGGCAAGGAATTAAACGTGCTACCATTATTGTAATGATGAATTACTAAATGGATAATTGGTTTTGGTGGCTACAACATAAAGTTAGTATTAAAATGTGTAAATAAAGAATGTAACACTTTCATAACACAATAAGATTTAGCAATTTTATATATATATATA